CGCGGCAACGTTACCGCGTCCAGTGGGCAGGAGCCATTACTCCAATTTATTGCACTAGTTCACTAGTGTAGGAACAGAAAACAAGCCTATTGTAGCGGAGGCTTAGTCCCAGTCTACAATAGAGATTTAAGCCCTAAGCCTTAAGAAATTGACTAATCACAGTCGCGTATTCTACTCGTACTTGACCGTGATTGGCCAATTTCTTAAAGCTTAGGGCTTAAATCATCTATTGTAGACTGGGACTTAGCCCTAAGCTTTAAGAAATTGGCCAATCACGGTCAAGTACGAGTAGAATACGCGACTGGGACTTAGTCCCAGTCTACAATAGATGATTTAAGCCCTAAGCTTTAAGAAATTAGCCAATCACGGTCAAGTATGAGAAGAATGCGCGACTGTGATTAGTCAATTTCTTAAGGCTTAGGGCTTAAATCTCTATTGTAGACTGGGACTTATTTAAGCCTCGTCCGTTTGGCCGTATTGGCTCCAGTGGGAGCCAGGAGCCAATAATCCAACGAGTAAACAGACCGTTCCAGTCTCCTTAGTCGGTATTCATGGTTTGAATTTCAGGGACACTGGGCTTGTCATTTGTACGAATTAAAGCGAATGTGGTGTGGAAAATAAATACCTGTGAACAAGTGCTATTTTTATTGGTGATGATGAAAAACACAGATAAGTTGTCAAAGTAAAATAAAAATTATCATTTCTCAGAACAGGTAATTGTTCCTATCTTAAAATATTATATAGAATGTTTTCCTCCTATTTATTTGTTATATTTATTGTTGTATTTATCGTTGCAACAATTTGAACGTTTAAAACGCCACGGGAGCAAATACGTGAAGTCTAGAAATAACATTTTATGCATTTTTATTCCTCATTCAGCGTTGCTGATTAAGCTAAGCAATTAACGTAAAGGAGATGAATTTTGGCGTGGATTGGGACACTGAGCATCGACGTATTTTGCTGGATGGAAATGCAGCGTTGGAACGTTCAGCGCAATCGGTCGCTAGATCGCAAGCCGCTGCAGCAGAGAGCGAGCAGATTGGTACGGAAGTGATCTCCGAATTGGGCGAACAGAGAGACCGTCTTTTGCGAGCAAAACGGAGATTGTCACAAACGGACGTGGAATTAGATAAAACGCGAAAAATTCTTAATGTTATGCGACTGAAGGTTCTGACAAACAAGATTGTGCTAATCGTGATAATATTGCTAGAATTAGTCATTCTTGGTATAATTGTGTACTTGAGATACTTTCACAAATAAATCGCCTATCGCTATTGAACTTAATTAATTAAAGCTGAAAAAAGACGTTGTGTTACACAACATTGTACATATCGCTTCTGCACGAGAAAAGTGGCGCAAATAAAAAAAAACGGTCATTTTAGGCGAACGATTTTAAACTTTCAATCTGCCTGCAGATCATACACGGCTCATCACATAGTCTGCCGATCTGTTTTATCCTTTTCTTACCTCGATGGATCTTTCTCCATAATGTGAGAACGTATTTTTCTTTTAAACATTCCTTCTCTTCGCTGTTATTATTTTTAAACAAAATACAATCTTCGTATTAAATTTTCTTGTGGATGAGATTTTTGTAATTACACCTGTAACACTTTCGAACAAAAGTACATACGTTTCAGAGCTGATAAGTTATAAAAAAGACTCGTGTCTTTTGGCTCGTATCACTTTTCTTGTGCAGTTATGTAATACACGTTAACAATTATCCGAATAGCACAAGACTCCCTAGAATTATCCTGATGTACTACATAGGATGTCTAGGAAACTATCTCGAAACATCCTGGACTGGTTTATGATGATTCTGGGACGTGTTGTGTTACGCAGGTAATAGAGTAATGATTAAGTGCAATTTTTCTGTAAAATTTAATACAATCAACGTGTAAACTTTAAAATAAATTTTTCTAAAAAGTAGGAGTTTTTCTTACAGTTCTCGTTGACGGGAATATTTCGCTGGAAGTACTTTGAAATCAATGAAAAGTGGGATAAAAGTTATTGAAAACTTACTGAAAGTATCGCAAGATAAATCATAATTTTGTTTTATGCAATTCAATCTAATATATGAGGATAGCTAAAGTTAATACTGTCACGAAAGATTAGGTATCATGAGATTTACTGAATTTGTTATAACTGTGAAAACTATTACCAAACATTCATTGACGCTCTGTATATAGAGCAATATATTGAATTGATTCATGAACAATTGTTTATTACTCACTTCATGTTTAATATACTTTCTATTCTTTTCTTATTAACCTGCGCATTACACGCGAATGAAAAGAAGTACTTAAAAATGGTTATCCTGCATGATGATGAATATTATCGAAGCAGAATACCTGAGCCAGATTTGGGAACACTTCGAAACTTTTTGCGATTTGTTTGGAATCCAGATAGAAAACAGTTACTTGGCAGAAGTGGGAAAGAATGGGGTAATTGTTAAGAGACAGATCTCTTTTACTTACTGGTCGTTAATCGTGGAATTATCTTATCGTTTGCGTGAATAGCTTTGCTCGGGCTCTTCTATTTGTGTTTCTTCACCGTATTGGGTTCCCTGTTTGCATTGCAAATGTGGATCAGTATCGAGTACGTCTCGAAACTGGAGAGACCATTTTTCCTTTATAGCGACTTGGCGCCTAGATCTTATTTTGACGTCAATATTCCGCTTTTGCGTCAACTAGAATTTGGTAGTCCAGGTAAACTTTCTTCAACAATAAAATTTGTTAAATAATCAAACACAAAATATTGTTTTAAATTTAATGTACATTTGTGATATTACATTAACATATTTTTTTTTAACAGGGATTGCCTTTAAACCAAATATTTTGTTACCCGCAAAATCTCCTCTTATTTGGATAGATAATTCTAGCACGGATACTCGTTCGAAAAGATACGTGCAAGCTTTAAGTGACTTTTTGCAAGGTAAAGACATCAAATAAAAATAAATAATATAAGAATTAATAATTAGTTGTAATTTCTACTCAATAATGCAAACATTAATGAATTATGACAATAAATTTTAATTAATGTTTTGAAAAAGGCCTGAAAAATATATACCATAATGTATATCTACGTGTGCACACGATGCGTACATATACATGTATATGATATACAGGGTGTCCCAATTTAATGTCCCACCCTAAATAACTTGTTATTTTTGATTGGTTAGCAGACTATACCCAGAAAACATTTTGCGCTCAAACATTTAGCATTATTATGGCACACCAGGATAGGATTTTGCTTGCGTAGTTGAACCATTTTTATACGTAAGTTGTTAAATATTTGCGCGCAAAATTACGCGTTAATACATGAGCTAACCACTTGCGTGCAAAACACAGACCAAACATATACAGGGTGGTCTAAAAGTCCCGGAACGGTTGAATATCCCGAGAAATTGTGGGTGGATCGGAAAACGGAAAAATACGTATTTCCTATTTTTGAAAGAGCTATCGAATGATACCAAAATTGACCCCCCCACCCCCACCCCTGTGGGTGGGGCGGGGGACAACTTTAAAATCTAAAATGGGAACCCCCACTTTTTACAACAGATTCGCATTCCACGTTAAAAAGTACGTAAGTTTTGTCTGAAACATTTTTTTATTTGCCTAATACTTTTTGAGATATTCAAGAGAAAATTTATAACTTTTTCAATGTTTAGCTTATGATATTTCGATAACTGTTTGTCAGAGGGAAAAGTAGTACAGGACTTTTTTACTTGATTTGGTCTCAGGAATATGCTGTCGCAATAGTGCTCTAATTATTGAAAATTTTTATGTATGTAAATTTGGTAGATGGTACAATACACAAAAATTTTCCATAATTGGAGCACTATTGCGACAGCATATTCCTGAGA